TCAGCAACTAGGGATCAACATATACAAATTCCAGCAATTAACATCAAATACACAAATTATGAAAATTCATACAAGATTCAGCAGTTTATCAAATTTTAATTAAAACTGAACAAATTTGAGCTCTAAAGATTCTAATATTTTTACAACATGACACTCCACATAAAACTAGCTTCTCAGCCAAATATCAGAATTATTTAGCAAAGGACCGATATAGCATAATTAAAAACGTCTTTCTGCAAAAACATTAAATAAATTATTTACCCTACCAATCTTAGTCTAAAAATTATAAAAATTTTACACAACATCATAATCATATAGAACGACAACATACTAAAATTTCATAAAGTTTAGAGCACAACTCAATTTATTATAAATTAAATATGAATCTGACCAGAAATTACAATAATTTTTAAAAAATAGCTACAGACCTTATTTTAACTTGAAATTTTTACACGACCTATAACATCATTAGAGGGTTATACAGTTCAAATTTTGCAGCAATCGGACGAGTATACGAATTTAGATGATTTTTCGAAGATCCAGCAACACAATACGATTCAAAAATGCACAACAATTAAATCAATCAATAATTTCGTCTAAGGCCTTCATCATCAGGCCAAAGACTTCAAGTGTTCCATAGATCCACACCAATTAACACAATTTAACAAGAGATCACCATCAAATAACATAAACAACTAAAATACGAATAAAATCGATCATATAGCAAGATATAACATGAGATCTCCCAACAAGGCATCATCTCAAGCATATATATACTAAAATAATATGGAGTAACAGCCTTGTACCGTTCTCGGGATAAATCGCACGAGAGGGAGGTAAACGGGCCGAGGGAGATCACGGTCGTGCGGGGAAGCGGGCCTGCGGGGGCGTTGGCGGCTTCGTGGGACGCCGGACGTCTCGTGCGTGGCTGCTGGGTCTCGGGTGGCGTCGGGGAGACGCGAACTGAGGCCTGGGGAGGTGCTCCTACGGCCTGGACGAGCGACGATGGCCTGAACGAGGCACGGCAGCCGGGTGGTGGCGAAGGGCTGGGCGCGGCCGATTAAAAAAATAACGAGAGAGGGGGAGAGGGCGAGAGAGAGATCGGGAGAGTGAGGGAGAGAGATTGGAGTGGCGGCTGGAAAAATGAGGGTGAGGGGAGGGATGATCATCTCCCTTATATAGGGCTAGGGCTTGTGACTTACCATACAAGTCACTTGCCCTAATTAACACCACCACACAAAAGGAAGGAGGGAGGGGTGCGCGTGGCTCACGGATGCGCGGCTTACGGGCGCGCGGCTTCGGCTCGAACATGCTCGGACGACGAGAATAAAATTACAATAATAATTAAAATATTTAAATTAATATTTAATATAAAAATACCGAAAATAATATATATATATAATAAACACAATTAGGCACATAAAAATTATTTAAGCATTTAGACAATTAACAATCTATAATAATAGCCACAGATAATGATAATAATAATAATAATAATAATAATAATAATAATAATAATAATCCAAATTATTAATAAACGAACGGGGCGTTACAGTGTCGTGGGTTCTTGTGTTGGTGTTTGAGTCGTTTTCTTTCTAGCCTTGCTAGCGATTCTAGGCGGACCTCGGTCTAGCCTCCAAGTTTGTATTTTTGCAATATTGTGCGCTTATCTATAGTACATCTATCGTTCCGGAAGAAAAAAAATAGGAGAGGAATGAATTACCAACTAAGAAATAACATAAAAATAATAATCTACCTAAGAAATACGAACGAAACAAAGATGAGAAGCTAGGGAATCGGGGATAATCAATTAAAGTTCTACTCGCACAACAGGACATGAATCATTCTATTCTAGATTGACGCTCTCGCTTAAACATCTAGCGTTTCGCTCCCAATAACTCTTCGTAACAAGGGATTGAACATAGACGAACAAGTTCGAGCATACGACACTGTCAATTATCCCGATCCCAATAACTTTTCGTAACAAAGGACGGGTCATCGACAAGCACGTATTTCAATCTAAAACACATAGATTATTCAGTTATGAAATCATCTACCTCATAAGAGCCTAGGCCTACGACTTCTCTCCTTTCGGTTCAAAAAGTCGCTAATTTAACTAGAAGAGTATTAATCGACTAATCACATAGAGTCAACAAAACCTAACTCGACTAATCAACATTCAATTATTACCAATTGCAAGATCGAAGTGTCACTCTTTGATTATATCAATCAATCAAGAAAGAATATATCAATCCCTAATCAAAACAACTCACATAAGTTTGAACGAATCGAAGCCCGACAAGTACAATTCAAACATGAACAACCATCCCCTATCCCTAGCAGTAAGATTTAGCTACGAATATCAAATTCAACACACATAATCATTCTTCTCAAATCATTTAATCATTATTCATGAATTAATAAAGAGAGAAAAACTTACAAATAATTCCCAATCCAAGTGTTGAATACGTATTACAAGCTTAATCCTTAGTGGTGGAGAACAAGAAGAAAAAAAATGGAAAATAAAGATAAAAAGAAAGGTAAAAGATGAAAGATGAAGAAGAAGAAGAGAGGAAGGAGAAAGGAAGTGTCATGGTGTTTTTCTTACGGCCTAGGGTTCATCTCCCCAAGGGGAGAGAATGAATTTTCTCCCGAGTCTCGTACGAGTATTTTAAGGTAACAAGTGTCACGCTGTAAAAAAAAATATGTCACGGGCGTGGAGAACTCGAGTGCCGCGGCGTGTGGAGGTTTCGCGACGCGAGGCGGTGCTGTTGCCACGACGTGCAGGTGTGCCGCGACGCGGGACTGAGCTATGCCGCGGCGTGATGGTATCTCCACGGCGTGGCGTGCTAGAACATGTTTTGAAGGCCCGTGATGGACGTCGCACCTTCCACCGCGGCGTGAAGGAAGTAGTGTAGCGCGCCGTGATTGTAACACCCCGCTATTTCATGAAAATCAGAGCGCGATTTTCGCAAAATTTTTCTAAATAAAATCATTTATTTTGCTAAATACTGATTCGGAGTGCTACCATAAAATCTAACTATATCTGAAAAACCGTTAATTTAGTTTAATAACATACGGTTATAAAACATAGTAACCGACTGGAGTCGGATCAAAAACTGGTTTGGTAAACTGAAATAGTAGCGGAAATCATAGTGTAGCCAAAACATGTTTTAAACATATGCACAAACGTCCTGAACCGGTCGCCAGCTCACTCCTCGGCTCCGACCCTGTGACTTGAAAAAACATGAATAATGTGGGGGCATGAGCACTAATCCACTGTGCTCCGCAGAAACTCATACTGAAGTAAACAGTGAAAATAATAACAATATCATGATCCTGGCAT